AAATACTACAATTCAATTATTTATGAACGTGCATATATACTAATTAACATTTATTTATGAATATATTAAATATAACATTAAGTTATCAAGTTTACGTAAACATGTTTTGAGAGCTATTCAATTATTTTAGGAGTAAATAAATTATTCAAGTTCATGAACGTGTATTTATTTTCAAAATTATTCATTTTATCATAAATTATTCTAGAAGTATATAAATTATTAAAGATCATATAATTTGGGAGCTATTCAAATTATTCAAATTCATGTATACTTATTTAATTTCAATATTATTCATTTAATCTATGATATAACACCATTTGTCTAAATGTATATAAATTATTCTTTTTATATATTCATTGATTCAAATTAATTAAATTCTATGTTGGTTCATGTACACCCATTTGCTTAAATGTATATAAATTATTATTTTTCCATATCTATTAATTCAAATTAATTAAATTTCATATTGATTCACTTACATCAACTTTTTTTAAATGTATATACATTATTCTTTTTCTATATTAGTTAAATTTCATGTTCATAAATCCATTTGATTGTTCTCATACGATTAGATTATTGATTTGTGTGCATGTTTAATAATTAATATTCAATTAAATATATATTGAAAAATGAAAAGTAAGGTACTATTAAAATAATTAAATTGTAGTAGGACTAAAATCGTCCAGAAAATAATTCTCACTTGATGCGATATTTAATATCAATTAAATATATATTGAAAAACGAAAAGTAAGGTACTATTGAAATAATTAAATTGTAGTACGGCTAAAATCGTCTAGAAAATTATTCTCTTTTGATGCGATATTTAATATATTATATATTTATTATTTTTTTGTGTGTTTTTTAAAGGATTTTAGTGGAAACATTATAAAGATTAGGAAAAAAAATGGATTGCAACCAGTCCTATGTTGGTCCAACCTACGTTCCACGAAAAGAAATTATGATTAGTCCATTTTCTTAAAAATTTCCACTCCATAGCATGTTGTTTCAATCTCACCGGTGTGTTTGAGCCACATTATTTTGGAAGAATGTATTTTGGAATAGTAACTTGATGGAAAATGTGTGGTTGAAAAAGAAAGAAAAGTTATTGATAATATGTAAAATATTATTTATTGAAGAATGCGTGGTTGAAAATGAGTAGAAGAATGAAAATGAAAATTTTAATGTGCCTCAAATAGGTGCTAACTTGCAGTTCAAACCACCTAATTATTCCAAGAAAAAAAGATGCTTTTAGAACAAGAANATGGAAAATGTGTGGTTGAAAAAGAAGGAAAAGTTATTGATAATATGTAAAATATTATTTATTGAAGAATGCGTGGTTGAAAATGAGTAGAAGAATGAAAATGAAAATTTTAATGTGGCTCAAATAGGGGCTAACTTGCAGTTCAAACCACCTAATTATTCCAAGAAAAAAAGATGCTTTTAGAACAAGAAAAAATATTTTAACAATTTAAGCTTTTACATAGTTTCATACCATATATATTTATAATGATATTGTCCACTTTTAATGTAATTAGAAGTAATGGATCTTTGATATTATCCTCCATGATGAGATATACCATAAGACCAATAAGTCGAAATGTCACTATAAACTCCTTGACTTTAAAAATAATCTCTCTGAATAAAGTCGGTTAATTAGGATGAAAATTGTACGGTGGGTTGTTAAGCGTATTTTTACATACTTATTTGACTGTCAAAATATGATCAATTATTGATTAAAATGTTAAAATATAGCTTAATTCTATATAATTCATGTTTTGCAGGATAAAGTGATGAATGTCATGAAATAAGGAGAAACAAGTGAAAAATGACAAAAATGGAGGAAAACAAAAGTTCAGGGACCAATGTGCAAATAATCTAAACTTATTTCTAACCCTGTGATGAAGATTCGAGAGTTTTAGAGGTCAATTGGATGAAGAAATAAGTCAAAGGGGTGAAATATAGCCAAGACATTAGCACATGTCAACTTTCAAGTTGAAAAGTTTTGTACCGGTTTTCAGTCTCATATTGAGACCAATTTTTTACATGACAAACAATCGAATTTGAAGATGGTTTCTGGAGAAAAATTGTAGCCATTTAAGTTAGCTTTCCAACGCAATTTGAATTAGCTCAATCAGACACCAAGAGAGAAAGTTATGACACAAACACGCTGCAAGGCGCGCGCCTCACACCAAGAAAACCCCGACTGAGGCTGCCTAAAGACTTAAGGTGCGCGCCCTAGTTTACACTAGGCGCTCGCCTCAAGCCAAAACTTGACAAAAATTCTTGTTTTCTTCTACAACTCAACCATTTCTGGAAACAACTATAAATACATGTTT